ATTAAGTAAAAGTTCAACAAATAAGATCAAAATGCAAATGAGATTGCAAAGATTGAATGAGTGTCGTATTTCATGTCTCGATTTAAGAGAGCAGTTCGTATCCCTCACTGCTGAAGATGATGTTGAACTTCGTAATTGCAACGAAATTTTGAATGCAATAGACAGAGCTATCGATATCGATCAAGAGCATATCGAAACAGCAATTTGTAAATCAGCTGAAAGTGTATCGTCTAAAGAAACCCGCCAAAACCTAAAATTACCCAAATTAGAATTACCTACGTACGGTGGTGATTTGTTGAAATTCCAAAACTTCTGGGATCAGTTTGAAGCCGCTGTACATAACAACGACGACTTACCGGACATACAGAAATTCACTTATCTACGCTCAGTACTGAAAGCTAATGCATTGCAAACCGTTGATGGATTCGAAGTCACTGGAGGCGAATTATGCGCCCGCAGTAGAAGCATTAAAGCACAGGTATGGTAGAAAACGAATTGTAATTTCATCGCTTATAAAGTCAGTTATCAACTTGGAATCAACGACGAGTATGTCTGCACGCGCTTTACGTGACCTGCATGACACATTAAAGAACAGGACTAGGGCCCTAGAGGCTCTAGGTGAACAGCCAATGGCACATGCTTGTATCTTGTTACCAATGTTTGAGTGTAAACTTCCGCATCAGCTTCTAGAAAAATGGGAGTTAGAGCTCGCAGACATTAAAGATGAAGAGATTGATCTCGAATTATTCTTCAAGTTCCTAAACCGACAACTTGTCCCAAAGGAAGCTGGTGAAAGAAACCAGCAAGCAACTTCTACTTCAGGTACCCACGGTCAAGGTAAAGTTAAAGTTGAACAAAAACCTGCTGCAAACGTCAAACAAGACAGATTAACCACAGCATCTACCCTGTTTAGTGACGCAACCAGTGTAACACCTTGCTGCGTATTCTGCAAATCTAATCATGAGTCAGGGGACTGTCCAGAGTTTAAGAAAAAATCGGTTGAGGAAAGATGGAAGCTAGTCAAGTCAAACAAGCTGTGCTATAACTGTTTGAAGCCTTCTCATGCTAAACATTTCTCCAAGGTGTGTCGTCAGCCTAAATGTTCTGTNGGCTACGGCATGGTTTATAAATCTAGAGGGTGCTATCTTCTGAATGGCCTTTTTATTTTATCACCAAAACCCATCATAAATAAGACAGCCCTGTCATACAGCCCCAGTTGACTCTTCTCAATGTCTTTCTTGTYCACATTCCAGTGGCATGCCTTTTCGATTTCCTTCATCATGAGATCTCTTGGGTTTGGTTCTGTTTTGAGAACACTTGGTTTTATGTTCAACATCTGCATGATTTCTTCATGGAAGTGAAATAATGATGGCATGTATGTTCGCCGGCTTGCTGCTGAAGCTAGTGTGTCATTGTTACCATCTAAARAAACAATTTAATATCAATTTACTTATTTACTTGATAAAAGTACTTTTTACCAGGTATACAATTTAGTAAGAAAACTAGTTGTAAAAGACAACGTTTTGCTGTCATCTCGACAACATCAGTAGATTTTACAGTTTTCATTAGACCTGATGATGTTGATGAGATGACAGCGAAACGTTGTCTTTTACAACTAGTTTTCTTATCTATTTCAATTCATCATGCTTAACAATATCTGTTAGCTTTGGCTACTACAGTACAGCATGGGACAATCACAACAAAGATCTTAGCTCCACACTTGGTGAAAACCCAAAGATCGAAATATGTGTTTTTTTTTTAATGAGGGAGAAAACCTAGAGAATCTAGAGAACACCTTGAAGCACAGGAGAGTTCCAACAAACTACTCTACTCACAACACCAACCCGGGATTTGGCATTGGTGAAAGGTGCATTAGCAGCAGACACCACCCCTGCTCCCCAGCAATGGAAATCAGGGTTGGAAGTTATGCAAGATTTTGCCTCAACTACATGGCCAGCTACACTGAACTGAATACAGTAGATATTTCTACGGGCATGTTGGTCAGCCAAGCCTGTTCTTTGCTTTTTCTTTAATTTTAGATCGATCTTGACAGCACTTGTGTAGCACATGCTACTTCAAAGTTTTTAAATTAATTCATCTATGGATTTGGATTTGGTGTGAAATTATACATTGCCCCCCTCCCCCCTCCCACATAAATTGAGGCATTGCTCCTTGCTAACTCCCCTGCTTCACAGCACTGTTGAACTTGTTACAAACCCTAAAAACCACAGGGTGGAAATATCAGCACTGTGTGTTCATTCCAAACCCGTGTGAATATACAACATTTGGGGTGAATTGATCATGGTCATCAACATAGCAAGACTAATAATTGTACGCCATCTTACTCCTAATGGTCGCATCATTTCCATAAACACTCATTCCACAATTTTGTGCATCAGATAGCATATTAAATTACATTACATAATGTCCCTTGCTTGTAGGTTGTGTGTATGTGAAGAGTACACACCTTTGACGGCAGATCTGACTTTCCAGTCTCGTCTTTCCCACRTTGGTTTGGGTATAAAATGACCACTTCTCGTCGATACTCTTACTTTCTCCCCTTTTTCTGTGTAGCGGTAAGTCACATCTGTTGCTTTGCTATTAAAAAAAAGTGGGAAAATGTTTTRAAATTCTTCTCAACAAGCACCCCAGTTTGAAATTTGGTTGATGTACATCGTCTTTTGGGAGCATTTGACTTGGAAATGAACATCAACAAAGATGAGCTTTAGAAATAGCTGTTCTCTTTACAACGTATAACGACATTTTATGATTATTTTTGGCATGCAACRACAATGGCACAATGATGCACAAATTTTGGTATATAAATGAGAGTCAATTGAATAGACCCTTTGCACGTGATGTCAAAGGAGCTCAATTTAAAAGACAAGAGGTTTCAGACCAGACCAAGACAAAATAATTTTAATCTCCTGATAGGAAACCTATTGTTTTGCCATTCAAATTGAGCTGCATTCCAATGTGTTGCAAGGAGAATTTATATAGCTATCTGTGCTATTGTTTGCTTGGTCACCATTCTTGTTATTATTGCTGTCCTGCATGTTAAGGTCAATAATAGAATACTAAACATGCTCATTTGCTGCACTTRAATGTTAAATCACAGTTGMAACACTCATTAATRATTCATAAGCTTATGGTCCAATTGGAGCCACCATACACGTCACGTGCATGGACCTTTATACCCGAAAAAGTCCTCTTTATTAGTATTCAAGTGATTTTATATAAAGACACATGTGTCTTTAYATAAAGACACGTGTCTTTATATAAAGACACATGTACTGGTCTTTATATAAAGACCACTCGAACACTATGAGGATGACTTCATCAGGGATGAAGTATGCATCCAAGTTTAGATKAAGTCATAGTCAACCCTAAAAATGTTTGACTAACGTTCCTGTCTTTGCCTTGGCACGCAATATCCAACGTGTGGGAGCTTCTAATGAATCTGGTTGCRCATGCCCGTGATGTCAAATCTCTATCGAAGTATAAAAATCCATGTTTGTGACGTGTATGTTGGCTCCAGTTGAACCAAAATCTTATAAATTGTTCATGAGTGTCTTTTAAAAGCAGTTCRAAAAACTTGTAGATTGTTTTATCAGGTATAAAAGCACTTGGCTACGCCTCRTGCTTTTATACCTGATAAAACACTCCTACTCATTTTTTAAACACTATATATATATGYCATCAGCATCACAAGAAACAATCCAGTATTACTAACTTGTCTGAAGGATCRATCAATGCTACTTGGTTCAGTTGTAGAGGTGCTTCACTTGGGTAATGTCCACCAGGAAAATCATCATATGGTCTGAAATATCTTTGATGCTGTAAACAAAGATTACAATTATTTTATTTGGAAGAGGAAGACTAGTTGTCTGGGAAAATAGTACCAGAGGTTAATATCAAGCAATGCTGTGATGCAATTTTTCCTCCATTCAAATTAGCGAATCCATAAAAACCCCAATGCAGAAGAATACAGAATTTGAAAGCCATGTTTTCCTAGTTCCCTTACTTTTGCTGTGACAACCTGAATAATTTCATGTCCTASAGCATCAATATCAGTGAAAATTATTTTATGCCTTGACATAAATAAATGACTTACGGACCACTTTGTCTTGTTAACACATACTACCACTTACCAACACCTTATCATATATGGTGTGGGTTAATCGCAAAGTAACTTATTAAACATTTTATAGGGTGCAGTATATATAGACATTTTTTCTAGTCGTTGTATTTTGTCTCCCCGACAGGCTTGAAAAAAAACATCCACCCCTACTGCACCCTAAAATGTGTGGTAATATATATACATACTGTGTTCATTCCTTTAACATAGATGTGATTTTTACTTCGAATGACATCAGACACTTCTCCAGTTTTCCCCTTGTCCTTGCCAGCTAAAATCATTACCTATGTAAGAGAATAAAACTTATTACATTATCTATTGAACACTTATTGACTGGGACCGAAGGAAACAGTGGGTTTTGTGGTCCCAAGGTTTACAAACACCCCTAGGAACACCGCATAGTTAATAACACTATTAATAACATTATTACTATATGCTCTCTAAAAACTACAACCCCTTAAACGTTAATACAAAGACAAGATTATCCCTGTGCTATAGAATGCTATACTTAGATAGTTGTTTATCGTAGTCTATTCTTACAGTGTCTCCACGAACTATCTTCCATTCTGCTACTTTGGGAACAGGTTGTCTTTTCCCTCCTCTTCGAGCTGCAGGGAAACGACGAGGACGAAGGATTCCCACTCCAAAAGCACTCTTTGGCATAGAAGGCATACTAAACTACAGTATATCTCTATCTATTAAATAAACTATTAWTTAGGTAAGATAAAACATGCCAATTTGTACGAAAACTCTAACACGATGATTACAGGACATGTGAGTCCGCGAGCAGGCTACAACACAGGGAACCCAGTTTGAGCACAGAAAGCCCAATCATAAGAAAATTTAAATTTAAAAATTAATATATTTTGTCGACTATTTTGTCACTAATTCGTGTTCTTGCTGCTGTTCTTTGTCTCAGCACACAATTTGCATCCAATTTATATGTGCTGAGAAAGTGGCGAATCCAGGCCGGTGGTAGGCCAGGAGAAAAAAGGCTAAAACTTATCATGTACAGAGACAAACAGCAACAGCAAGAATACATTTGTAAAAATTAGTAAGCTTAATAAGTAACTTAATTTATTTTTTTCTACAATATATTTAAATCCACATAGTTTCCTTCCATGGTACAGGCGGTAGCGTACTTGGGCTTCCTGTGTCTTCAACTGTTTTGATACACCACAGCGAACCCAACGAAAGGTTTTCGCAGTTTTCATTCACCTGCATTGATGGTTGACAGCTAGCCAGCAGCATGCCAGCACACAAAGATAATTGTAGYTAGCATTTTTGTGATGTTATCGTTCTAATTCGTTATTTTCTTATGTCCATATAAGTTTATTTGAGACTATAGCTAAACAAAAATGTCTTAAATACAATTTTCAATAGTGGAAGTCATAATTTTGAGATAAAAAATGAACTTCCAACTTAAAGCTTCCCCAACATGCAAATATTTCATTCCTTCTGTTGAGATTTTGGGCATTGTGCATGAGAGGGGGATGATGGCATTTTCTTTAATATTGAAGTGTTATATTTATTTATTTCATCATGTTTTTTAACTTATTTAAAAGTAGTGGTAGTTGCCTGGAAAAGATGTGGTTTGCATATTTGCAAATTGTTGTTGGTTGGTTGTTCAGAAACTACCCCATGTGGAAAGGGTTTCTATTCCCTTTCCCTACCTCCCTCCCTTTCCCTACCTCCCTCCCTTTCCCTACCTCCCTCCCTCCCTCCCTCTACTTAGAACAAGATAGAGAATGGAGTTTTGCAAACATTGTGTGGTTCCAAATAATATCCATACCCCACCATGGAGGAAATTGGGAATTGCCATGCGGTAGTTGCCTTGGTGCAGACCAAATTTTAAGGTGGTCAAGAGTTAAATTTTGTCTGCATGGGGTAGGTGTTCAGGGGAAAAACAAAATTACAGGGTTTGTATGGAAGTAAATTGGAAATTCCAGAGGAGTAGGGGATCAGGTCTTTTTTCAAATTTCCTTCCTGGTGGGTTATGGATATTTTCTGGAAATACAGGCTGACCAGGTTGTACATCTCTTGCTTTCCTTCTTAATGATACTAGTTTTAGAGTTCAGAGGTAGTTCTAATTAGTAAAATGAAATCCGTTTTTCCACAGCCATCAATCAAAAAACAATTCTTRCCTTTTACATTTTTGACTGGAAGCAGAAAGAAAAAAATCCAATTGGCAACTCATGACTACATGATTTATATTATTGCAAATTGTTGTAAAAGGAAATACAGTTCTGTAATTCATTCCTTTGTGCACATTCATGGGTYGTCTTTTTGAGTGCAATAAATGATTTTTTGGCACCCCTCTTTCAAAAATGACCTACATTTTTTAATCTCCCACCTCACCTCCAACATTAAAATGTCCATAAATGCATGTTAGTACTGTCTGTAATAGAAAAATTAAACAGGTTGATAGAGGTCTTTTTAATATGAGATTATAAGTATTTAATAATATACAATTCATTTACTGTAAGAGGTTATGTGTACGAATATATAGTTCCTGCAGTAAAATGGTTATAATTCATTAAAGCTATTATTCTGTCTATAAGTTACAAAAAATAATTGTTATTCAGTGCTTGAAAAATGAAATTTCTTGTTTACTACAAATGTGTCCTGGCAAATTTTTCAAAGCCAGTCACCTTACAAATTAATTTTACAGTCAGGACAACTGCTTTTAATTTTATAATTTTACAGACATGTTTCAGGAGTTTTTATCTCCCATCTTCAGTCAGTATAATGATGATTAATTTTCTAAACTTTTAAGCTTAGAAAATTATTAATCATTATCTAAAAATATTTGAGGCAAACGAAAGGATTTATCTTACATAAATTGCAAAAGTATTTAAAGTGCACATGAACCCTTTGACAATACATTCAGTACCAGTTCTGCATAAAGTAAATAGTTGATTGGTAAAATATTTCTTGATTTGAGTGACGCGTCTCTAAGTTAGGAAGGTTTATACTTCCAATATGTTAATGATGATGACGTCAGGTAAGGTATTTGAGTGTTTTTGTTGTAACTAGTAATACTTAATGCTGGTCATTTTGAAAATAAAAATTTTAAATAGCTTTCATGTAAACCATGAGTAAAATAATGATGCTTTTTAAATACTGTATCTATGAACCAGTTCGATTTTGTATATTTAATTAAGCCTTAATAGACGTCACGCTTATTAGCATATTGDAAGTATAAACCTTCATAAYTTAGAAACGCATCACTCAAATCAAGAAATATTTTACCATTCAACTATTTACTTCATGAGAAATCAGTACTGAAAGTATTGTCGAAGGGTTCATTTGCACTTTAAGGAAGTGGTTTTTTACTTGTTGGTTTAAGAAGGTTACTCAAATCCTTACAAATCCTTATCCCATTGACAATTGGAGAGATCAAAAAAATATTTAGACTTGTTTGTTACCTACTATCGTGATGAAAAAGTTATTTTCAAGCACTATTATTTCAATAAGATTAGAATTAACTCACAAAATATTTCCTTGATCAACTGCATTTTTCAGAAACAAATCCAATGGAATATGCAGATGATTGTATAATAACAGACCAAGGCATATTTTCAAGTATTATCATATATACAGTACTATAAAGAAATAGCACACCAGAAATAAGAAGGTATGTGGAAATCTTTATTAGAGCTGTACAATGATCCAGAGCACATTATTTTGAAAGCTAATGTTCTTTCCAGACTTGAGCACTTTTATTTTGAAATTCAATTTTTCAAACTGGTTCATTTTTCCCTTTTACAAAAGGAATTAAAGGTCCCCGGCATTTTCAATGAAAATCGTCATAATATATGTTCAAAAAATCTCCAAAGCAGATTTAAAGACTTAAGCTTTTTTATGGGAGCAAAATCAGAATAGTGTTTGAACATTACCAAAACTAAGTTTTTGTATTCAAAGCTCTCTGATGTAACCACTATAATTTTTTGAAGTGCACAAGCAATTTTTAGCACAGAATAAAAATATATGGTAGACAAAATAATGATATGAAATCAATGCTACAGGATTCATAAACAAAGTAATATTATAAAGATAATTTTTTAGCATCAAGCATCAAGCACATTGCATGTTACTATTTAAAGTATTAAGTGTGTGAGCAAATTCTACAAAAAAATGCTTATCTACTAATACAACTAAACAGTGTTTTTCAATGAGAGTCCAGTCAAGATACTATAAATCCTTTGTTATTTCTTTTCTGTTCCTCCTTCTGCTGCTGCTGCTTTTTTCTCTTCTGCTTTTTGTTGTTTCAGCCTCATTGCATCAGCATCCCTGTTTAAACATAAGAACAGCTGAATTAATACACCGATCCCACATTGATTGTTCTACAGTACCTCTCTTGTTACTGTTGTTATGTTGGATAAGCTAATGTGTTCTTAATATACAGCATGGAACACTGATTGCTGAAAATTGTAAATGTCTGTCTTAGAATCAATGCATTCTAAAGGTACATTAAGAAAACAATCRATAACTACTAAAAAATCTTATGAATTCAAGTTTGTTGGTCAGAYATTCTGTATTCCATTGGGAAAACTACCCATTATTACCGTGGACACTCAAGCATAGCCTGGATTGGTTTATTCACATAACCTACTGTAGCTAGATCTAGCTTGTTAATTTTGTTTTGCAAAAGATTTTATTGAGGGGTCATGAATAAAAGAGATAACGAATGTTAGTCTGGCCCTCTGTACACTAGTAGTAAACCTAATTATTTTTTTAAATGAATAAAATTAACAAGACCCTTGTGGCAGGGTAGACCAGGCAACCTGGAAGACTAGTGGCTGAGTGGGCTAAGATTCTAAAGGCAAAGTGAACATAAGTTGCTAGGTCTTGAAAGATAGAAGTCGTTATAATCTCTTGCTGGAATTCCTTGTTTATGATTTAACAGTAATTTAATATTTCTAGTTCGGCTGTCTCGAATTACAGCAGTCAACAAAATAGGGCATGYGTAGACATTAATTTCTGATCTGTTAGCTCCGACCTATCATAATCACTTGACAACATAGTAACATTGATTGACATCTGGTAAATGCTAATCGATTGGACCAAAAGACGAGAACCCCATGGCAGATGCTGGTGAAGGTCTCTTGGGTAAGTTCCTGAAGACCCTTGGGCAATATTGTGCAACTTGGCAATTTTGTCTGGCGGGGGGGAGGGGGGGGGGAAGGCATTTTATGGCCAGGTTACCTGACAGGTAACCTGGTAAAAACTCATCTAAATAATTATGAAAGTATTTTTCCATTGATGTCAAGTGCATGGACCTTTGTACTTGATAAAGCCATTAAAATATATCAAAAATTGTGATTGTGAGCAGATTGTAGTGTTTTTCATGTCTACTACTTGGCTATGTGCCTACTATATGAAAAATAATACTTGAATTATCTAACACTTACTGTAACATCATGTGGCCCTCTTTCCAAGACTTAGAATAACAGATATGTTACTAGCAGTAATTCTTTTTTGGAGGGTGAAAAACCAGAGACCCAGAGAAATACCATTATCTTTAAGTTGAGAATACAGGGTTATTAATGGACTGAGGCATATGAATTTTACCTTTGTTTTCGGTCATTTAACTTCACACCTTTATTTGCTGTATGGTCAGAACCAGTTTTCTTTTCAGCCTTTTTGGCTGCCTTTTGTCTAGCTAGTTCCCGTTGGTTACCACCTAACAACAGCAATATGACAAATGAAATGAAAAATAATTACGAAAATACCTAATAAATGCCCATTTTTTTCTAATATATAAATGACAACACAACATACTGCAGGACTTGAAATTATTATTTTTTCTAACCTGTTAATCAGTAGTCCACTTTTGATACATGGTTTGCTTGTCATGTACAAAGGTTTCAGTACAAGGCTATGTACTAAGTTAAAATAATTCTTTTCTCCTCTCATCAATCACTGAGCATTATACACAAAGCCTCACATTGAATCCTTTGTGCATGACGAGCAAAGCATATCTCGGAAGTGGGCTATTAGTTACATTGAAGTACTTTTATCATATTAGCTTTGATAGTACATGGGCTCTGATTGGTCAAGAAGTGTGCTTTATTTGTGAACTGAGCACAGTTGCTGACGCCTTTTGCACGTGTGGCAATATTTCTGAAGGATTGTAAGAAAACAGCATCAAAACTGTGTGCTTTATTATCAAAAGAAGCAAGGAAAAAGTAAATAATTGAACTTTTACTTAAAGACTAAAACAAAACAAAAWTTGATTGCACATTGTTGTACAAGGTTTAAGTGATCCTCATTACATTGTAAAGTTTGCATAGTTTTTTGARTCCTTAGCAAAAAAAAGCCTTTAAATAAACTTATCTAATAAAATATTTATGCTATTGAGACCATCATAATATAAAGTAGTAGATTTTAGATAGTCCTTTATCTTTGCTCTAAAAATATAGCCAGCCAAAAAAAAATCTTGAAGTTTATTTTACGTATTTATTTGACTTTATATGAGGAATCATTGTAAATCAAGTATATGTTGACAACAATAAATTGGCTATCGTTTAAGCTTACTTACTATGAATTAACAGTGAGGTCGCTTAAAATATTAAAGGATAAGAAACTTCTTGGTTCTATTTAGTTAGTTTAACGATAAAGAAATCTTATGAATAAACTCTAAGAGTTTTAGAAGTAAATGTACAATATGACACTGAATTGAATCAAGTTGGAGATTTATGAATCTCAATACTGTAAATATTGAATAAAATGTTCGAAACTTTATTCACGATAAGAAGGAAAAACACACGAATTGGACTAAAAAGAAGAACCAAAAGTAAGGGGAAAAAAGAATTAAAGATGGACGAAATGTTTTAAAAAAAATATAAATTCTAAACTTAGGTTATAAGCTTAATCAGCCGATGTTTTGAAGYTGGTAAAATTAATTTCGCAAATTGTAGCGATCGCAAGATTTTTCGAGGAAAAATCTATTATAAGTATTGTTAAATAGTAATACTTACGAGTCATTTTGGCCGCCCAAAACTCCAAAAGGAGAAAAGCTTAGGATAAAAACAAACCACGTTACAGTATAGGAAAGAAATCAAATCAAAGAATCGTTGTTCGATTGCCGAGGCACCGAGCCATGTATCCCACACGTCAGTTCGAGCACCGTGGGTCAAACATTATTTTGAGGGGAGGGGAGAGTTGGAATTTTAGTTAGATGTTAGGAATTTGTTGGGAATTTGTTAGGACTTATTTATCTTAGTATCTTAGGTCTTTTTTCTGTGTTCTCTAGTTTTCCAAATATATTTCGCTCGATGGAGCCGCTTCAATGCTAAAAGTTTGCTCGTTAAGGTGACTGCCTACTTTTGGAAATTGATTTAAGCTTTTCTTAAAACTTCGATTTTCCGAATTGAAATTTAATGCTGATTCCAAATCTGGAAAGAAAAAT